GCTTTGACATTTTTCAATATTTTACCAATTTTGTTTCATATATTTCCAAAGCAACTTTTTTAATTTGCTTTGCTGGAGTGTTTTAAGGCAAATCCCATTAATCGTGCCATTTGACCTGTCAATACTTTAGTATGTCTCATTTTTAAAAACACAACCACCAAGTCATCATTATGTCCATCAGAATTACTGGCTATCCCTTACTATCATCTGATTCCTAAAACATGTTCAAATTTTCCAAAGAGTTTCAAAGATATCTTTTACAGTCGGTTTGTTCTAATTAGGATTCAAACCTGGCATTTGGTGTTATTTCATAGAAGAGACGTAGAGACACAATAATGTCCCCTCCCACCATTTTTTTCATGCCAGCATTCTGTCACTGGCATCAGGCAACTGTCCCGTAGTAAGCTGCATGGACTTTTGAAAGGCAGACATGTGCGGTGGGAGAGTGCACTTCATATGCTTGGAGCAAGAACTGTGAGGCAGCTTTGCTGGGTGTTGGGGCGGAGAGGATACTGATCACTGGCCTGTGCTATTCTTTGCACAATGGGAAGTTGGGCTTAGGGAGGTGACTTCAGAAGCAGTTGTTGGAGTGGAGGAGGAAGAGTTGGTTAAAGGCCGTTGCCAATAGAAAAACAGTGAATGCTGCACCTCCAGCAGGACGGCCGTGTTGCTAACAGCCTGGAACATGGAGGGCAGAGGCCTGGGTTCCCTTCTCAGCTCCGCCTGCTCTAGCTGTGTGGCCTTGGGCACATTTCTTAGCACATCTGAGCAAATGTCTCCTGAGTTAAAACATGAGGCAGTACCTGCCTCAAAAGGTAGTCTTGAAGATTAAATAAAATTATCCTGAAAAGTGGGTAGTAAATGCTCAAAAAAGTTAGCTATTGTAAGAGTAGCAGTGCAGGCACTGGCCAAAGGGTCATCTGTCAGAGGCCTCGCACAGCGGAATGGTTCCGGTGACAGTAGGATGTGCTGAGAAACGGGAGTTAGGCAATTGAAGACTCACTGATAAGTCAACTTTTTAAATCTCATCCCCCCAACCCTCAAAACACACATATATGTGTACACACACACACACACACACACACACACACACGCACCATCTCTCACAAAGATAGAAAAACAGGAGGAAATAGCTTGGAAGAAAAAGAAAAGATTACGACTTTGTGTGTGTGTGTGTCTTCAACAACAGGATACACCGGAAACATTGGAAGACTATCCATGTAGAGACAACCACTTGGAAATTGAGCATTTGGGTCTTGAACTCTTAAGAAATGGCAGAGCCAGGGCTATAGTTTCAAGGATTGTCTACTTTGGCATGATTAAATCAGTAGTAAGATAAAAATCACAAGTAAAAATGGTGAAGATTAAAAAAAAAAGCAAATTAAAACACACACAAACTGGAAGTCAGCCTGAACACACTGAAAACCACAGAGGGCAAGAGGAAGAAAAGGAGTTAGTGAATAAAAGAAGTGTGTCTGAATGTGGGCTGGGATTTAGAAATGGCTACAGTGTAATGGAAACCCAGGTTTCTAAGGAGACTGCGCATCGGTGTCAAATGCAGAGCGCGAATAGAAGAGGTCTGGGAGGCAGCGGCTGAACCGGGTATTAGGAACTAATTTAAGACGCAGAGCCGATCTGGGGATTGTGCTCTAAATGCAAATCTGGGAACTATCTATACACAAGGAAAAATTAAGGACATACAAGAGGGATCAAAGTGAATGTCGGGAAGTAACCTCAAAGTACCTGAGAAGGTGGAAAGGCCCGAAGACTGACAAAGCCACTGGCTAGGTGGGCGGGACGTCGCTGGTGGTTTCCGTTGAGAGCCACGGAACGGGATGGCTCCTCTTCGAGTTGTACATTTGTGAATTACAAACCCATGAGAACACATATAATTTTTTGCAGAAGGGCCTGTTCCACATGGTGACTACAGTACCATGGGAACTGAATTATCAAAGCTACTATTTAATGTAACAAAATAGGGACGGAAACATTCAGGAGCCGGGTGCGCTCATTCCAGCAGAGAACCACAAGTCTCATGAAATAGGCCAGCCTCAAAAATGCGCAGCGAGTGCAGAGTGAAAAACTAGACACGTCCCCCTCACCAAGCACATATGCCGAGCGCGCTCACCACCCCAGAGCGAATGCTTTAGTCTAGCGTGCTTCCTGAGTTACACCGCTACCATCAGAGCCCTGCTCTGGAGCACGGACTGTGTTAGACCCAGACTCTTACATCCTTTCTTTCACAGGCAAGATACTCAATTCATTGTGTAAAGGGAGTTTCAGAGGCCACTGCAAAGTTCTGGCATTGCTGGTGTGGCGCCTCTGCATGGTCCATCCAATGTTTTTCATGACACGCATGTGCCTTGGTAACGAGTGGGCAGCTGGAGGACCATCCCGCGGCCTCTGGAGGCTGCTGAGGGAAGGTGAGTGACAGGCGGGGCAGGGCTGCCACGCGCACATTGCAGACATACGGGAGGATGGAGCGCCTCTCCACCCGGCGTGCAGCTCAGTTTAGTCTACAACAATTCATCCTTGCTCTGCTCTCTGTTTCTGTTCTTTACCACGAACCATGGGGCTATGCAGCTGCGCTCCAGACAGGACTCAACAAAGCTTTCTTTCCTTTCATGGAAAGGCAGTTACATTCATCAGGAAGGAGAGAGAATGCCAACCTCTCGAGCCAAGAGGTGAGGCTGAAGGAATTCCATGTCTTTTAATTTCTGGAATCTGCGATGAGACCAAGTGGCAAACTGCAGGCACAATCACACCTAGTTGGTTTTTAAACTGCGTTCTGTTTCTCATTTCTGACTCATCGTCACTGAAACCTAAAAGCTTTTCAGCGGGTTGGATGGTGAACATTTGTTGTCTCCTCAGCTGGGGACAACAGTTGATTTTTCTCACATACAAAATTACTGTCGAAAGTATGCTGTGGGCAACTCAGAAAGTGATTGCTAGGGTCTCATCTTAAAGTAAAAAACAGGACTTCACCGATAAGTTCTGAATTCTAATAGGCTTTGTCCATATGGTTACTATTTGATTCTCCCCATGCTCACGGATGGCCCCTTATGCAGGTACCACATCTGCTTAAGAGTTAAAACAAGTGTCCTCCCCAGCCATAAACAAGATTTTCAGAGGCAATTCTGGGACCGCTGAGTGGGTTCTATGTAATGAAAACAGAAAGCTGAACACCATGAAACTCTAGTTCAAAGGCTAGACATATCAAACACACAGATTTCCCAGGGAGAAAAGATTCCTAAAAATGTCACCGAGAAAGAGAATAACGAAGCAATAAAAGGCAAAGGGTTTTGTGATATTCAGTCCACGCAGCCTGGTTGGCAGGCCTCGATCTGTCTTCACCTGGTGCTGGTTTACGTTTAGAGTGGAACTGGCTAAAAATAAACCTCAAAATCCTAGATGGTCTGAAGTAGCCACATTGCCTTCGCTTCAAATCACACACCATTTCTGACATGAAAAAAAGCAGCAGTTGAGTATGTGAGAGCCCTCTTCCTCCAGAAGTGTAGGTTCTGATGTCACCACAATGACATCACTCATATTCCAGGCCAGAGTTACCTAGAAATCCTCCCAGCACTTCCTATTGGACCTCCTGGCTTCTTGGTCCTAAACTCACATACCCTGTGTGGTAGACAGAACAATGATGTCTACATCCTCAACCCTGGAATCTGTGACTTTAAAGTAAGGAGACTAATCTGGGGTATCAGGTAGGTTCCATGTGATCACAAGGGACCAGGGTTAGAGGTGTGATGACGGTACCAGGCCAGAGAGATGCTATTTCACTGGATTTGACAACGGAGGATGAGGGCTGAAAGCTGAGGATTGTGGGTGGCGCCTAAAAACTGAGAATAAAAGGAAAGAAAAGCCAACATCCCGCTGATGACCCCTAGATTTGAGTCCACCCATGCTGGATGTCTGACCTATAGGACTGTACCATAGTAAGTCTGGGTCGTTGAAGCCACTGACTGTGTGTAATTCTGATGGCTACGGCAGAAAACAAAACGCTGTAGGAAGTGGGGATGCTTCACCTCAGGCACTCCTCTCCAGCGCTAGGAGCTGGTGCCTGGCTTTCTCTGGCAATAAAACCCGTTCATTTCCTTTTTTTCTAGTTAAACTCCAGATTCCAGCAGAGTGCTAATCCTCAGAAAAGATGATATATAATAGCACAGCATCTTCTAAATTTGAGTGTGGGGGCGGGAGGAGGCAGGAGGTACAGTGGGAGAAGTTAATCTTTCTTTTTGCCTCCCATTTTCTTTCAGAGAGATGTAACACTATTGTTAGAAACACAATCCCTTTCTAGTGGACCTGCATTAATGTGGTTTGAAAATCTGCCTTTTCAGTTTCTCTGCTCTTTTTTCCCCTCCAAAATAGCTCTGTGTGCTGTGAATGTTTGGATAATCTGAGATGATCTAAATGGAAAGAATTTTAGCTCCCAAACCATGTAGTTTTTCGTACTATGCCCTCAATCAATTCAGATAAGATTTGATAATATTTAATACACAGCAACAGCAAACAATCCTGAATTAGAAGGTGAATAATTTAATTAGCGTGCTAAGACTTGGGATAGCTGATGTAAGAACATTAAAAGATTTTACATTCGATTATGTATGGGGTGTTCTTTTTCATTGCTGTTTGTATGCTAGCTTTATTTTAATTGGAAAAAAATAGCAAGAGATCCTCTGAGTAAGCTAAGGTACTATGGATCAAGAACCCATTTATGTAAAGATTTTTCAGGATCCTTTTGGGGTGAGGACATCACTAAACTCCATGCCTAAGAGGAATGAGTCTCTGTGAGGCCCTGTTTCAGTCCCTTTGCCCCAAATGACCAGAAAATATTTCTCTACCAAGAAAACAAATGAGTCGTCAGACCAAATGAGTGGTGAGAACACCCAAAAGCTGGTGGTGGGGTGTGATCTCATCAGGAGCACATACCAGAAGAAGAGATGGTTTAACCCACCAAATAAAATTAAAAATAGAACAGGAACACTTACCCTCATGTCTCCGTTCAAAGTTTTTGGCGTGTGATTGAATGCATGTGCAGGATCCTTGTTGTACACTTTGAGGAGCGATCTGTCCTGAATGTTCCTGGAATAAAAAACATCAATAACTATGGCAGACGAAAGGAGCCTTACTTTGGCCATTTTCTTTGACTGCCCATAGGAATCAGGTAAAAGACAGCAGCAGACAATCCAGCTGTTGTCCACAAGCAACCAGACAAAAGTTCTTTTACCATAGAATAGGCAAAAATAAATAAGGAAAATAAAAATGACTTCAGTTTTTCTTTCCTTTTTTTTTCTTTTTTGTTCTTTCTGTGTAGTTTTCCACCCATTGATAGAGGGTGGCATGAAATTTCTTAAGATATTGAGCAAAGAAAGGTAACACTTGAAGAAACAGTAAAGCTCTGATATCTACAACATGTTCCAAGAGATTTGGTTAATATTTAAATATTTAATTGCTTACTTTACCCAAACACCCATTTTTCTGCTTATCACATGAATGCACACAAACAAAAAATGCTTTTCCCCCTTCAAACAGTTTCAGCAAGGAAAAGAATATCTATTTGCAGCCCCCAAAAAAGTACCACAAAGATCAAAACCAGTATCTTTACAATGCCTTTTTTTGTCTTCCACAGTGGGTTTTAAAAAATACTTGTCTACATACAAGTTGAATGAGTGGTTGCACAGGGTATTGAAAAGGAATAGCTGCAGATCAATTCTTCCACCTGTCTCTCTCTCCTTCTGAACCCAGCATTTAGAGCTGGGGAGTCAGTCACACCCCAGCAAAGAACAGAAGTCCCACACCTTTTCTCAGTTCCTACCTTAACATTATTTAAGACCATATGAGTTGTCTACGAAGTCCTTTTCCCTTCATATTCAGATTTCATCAGCAGAAGGGCCACCCAAGGCCCTGTCAGCCTTGCCTGCACGGTGACTCCTTCCAGGGCCAGCGCAGCGGGTGGGGGTGGGGTGGGGGTAGGGGGGACGATGTTGCAGGAGGACACATTCCTTTCCTCCAGGTGCAGCCACACGTTTCGTGGGCTGATCGCAATCACTGGGATTACTGGGTTATGTTTTTGTTTTAAACGGAGTGGAGAATTCTTGGACTAGTCTTGCTTCCCTCTTTTAAATACCCGTCAGTAATTGCTTTGAAGCAGTGACTAGCCCAAGCTTGCACCATGGCTCCAGGTTTCAAGTAGCTCATTAGAAGTCAGCTTAGGGGGGAGTGTGCGGTCCTTGTTATTAAGGGGCTAGGTTACTCTGAAGGGGGAGTTCACAGAAGGTGAGAATGTGGGGATTCACTAAAGGAATTCACCCTGTAGCTTTGGGGAAAAGTCACAGTAATGATGTGGAGAAACCGAAAAACATACTTGAGCCACGAAAAAAAACCCTGGTGTGATTCTAAAGGTATTTAAAGTACCTTGGTTTATAATTAATTTAGAAACACGTTCATCCAAGATGAACCAACACCAAAGGCCCAGATTGCATTTACCATGGCAACATTTACAACACAGCATTTGGACCTGAACTCTCTGTGGCATTTCCCTAAGGAAAATATGGAGAACCCAACACAATGATGAAACAGCCAAACTTGTAACAAATATATTCTCACTTCAAAAAATACTGAAGAATGTAAAATGAAATTTGTCTCTGGGTTCAGATGAAAGCCATTGTCTTCATTTAAAATCCACACGGTACATTTTTTTTGGAGGGGAAAGAGGTTTTATATAACAGTAATGTTGAGAATTTATTCGATCATTCAGATAAGATATACTTGAAGCATTTTATGCACAAAAGCAAAGAAATAGAATAATTATTTGGAAAGGATATGGATATATATATTTATATATATATACATTTTCTCCACATTTTTAGATCCATTTTTATAAGTAAATCAAAACACTAAAAAGTAAAATCTAGACAAATGACTTCCCAATTAAACATTTTAAAATGAGATTTTAAAAAAATCAGGCTATTTACACTGTAGCATGAGGATAAACAAGATCATCATTTTTGCAAATATAGACATATTAACTGAAAATTATCAATGTTAGAAATGATCACTTCTCTCAAGCACCTGCTTGAATTTGTCTGAAAAAGGATCATCTTAATTTGGGAAGTTGGGGGACCTTTCCTTTTTGTCTTCCCTCTTTGTGACTATGAAATGATACTTCCTCAGAATGCTTAAAGGAAGTATTAGTAGTACTCTGAGACTTGGGGAATGCTCTAGAATATTGGGCCTTATCTTATGTAATAAAAGAGAAACATGGTAATTGGCGTACGACCGCTACCCTTCCCATTGGCTAATCAGCGAGATATGCAAATTAACTGCCAGCCAAGATGGCGGCCAGCAGCCAGGCAGCTTGAAACTAACATGAGGCTTGCTTGCTTCAGTGACGGAGGACTCCAACGTTCCCCGCCTGCCTTGCTGGCCTCTGAGCCTGCAGTTTAAGAAACATTGTAACAAATATAGAAGCTAAACAAAACCCCAGAAACCAGCTTTCAGCCAGCTGGGATCTCAGAGCTGGAGTTATACATTGTTTCGATTATAGAACCTAAACAAACCAGATACCTGCTTTCAGCAGCAGAGGCCTCAGAGCTGGAGCCAGAGCTAAAGCTGGCCCAGAATAAAAAAAAAGAAAAAAAGGAGCAGTTGGGAGCTTCAGTCGCCTGAAAACAGCCCTCAGCCCCTCACCCAGACTGACCAGGCACCCCAGTGGGGACCCCCACCCTGAAGGATGTGTGACCAGCTGCAAACAGCCATCATCCCCTCATCCAGGCTGGCCAGGCACCCCAGTGGGGACCCCCACCCTGATCCAGGACACCCTTCAGGGCAAAGCAACCAGCCCCCACCCATACACCAGGCCTCTATTCTATATAGTAAAAGGGTAATATGCCTCCCAGCACTGGGATCAGCGGAGCCATGAGGCCTCCCGGCACCGGGATCAGCGTGACAGGGGGCAGCTCCCAAACCCCCTGATCGCCCTGTGACTCTGTGTGTGACAGGGGGTGGGGCCACAACCTCCCTATCGGCCCTGCTCTGTTCCTGACAGGGGAAGGTGCCCCAACCCCCTGATCGGCCCTGCTCTGTGCCTGATAGGGGGGAGCTCCCCAACCCCCTGATCGCCCTGCAGCTCTGTGTGTGACAGGGGGCGGGGCCACAACCTCCCTATCGGCCCTGCTCTGTTCCTGACAGGGGAAGGTGCCCCAACCCCCTGATCGGCCCTGCTCTGTGCCTGATAGGGGGGAGCTCCCCAACCCCCTGATCGCCCTGCAGCTCTGTGTGTGACAGGGGGCGGGGCCACAACCTCCCTATCGGCCCTGCTCTGTTCCTGACAGGGGAAGGTGCCCCAACCCCCTGATCGACCCTGCTCTGTGCCTGATAGGGGGGAGCTCCCCAACCCCCTGATCACCCTGCGGCTCTGTGTGTGACAGGGTGTGGCGCCCCAACCCCACCACCCCACGGGTCCTGCTCTGTGTGTGACAGGGTAGAGCCATAACCTCCCCATCCGCCCTGCCCTGAGTGTGACAGTGGCTGCGTCCCAACCCCCTGATCGGCCCTGCTCTGTGGGTGATAGAGGGCGGTGCCCCAACCCCCTGATCGGCCCTGCTCTGTGAGTGACAGGGGGGAGCTCCCCAACCCCCTGATTGACCCTGCTCTGTGCGTGACAAGGGGGAGCGCCCCAACCCCCTGATCGGCCCTGCTCTGTGCGTGACAGGGGGCAGCCCCCCAAACCCCTGATTGGCCCTGCTCTGTGCATGACAGGGGGTGGCGCTGCAACCTCCCCATCGACCCTGCCTTGAGTGTGACAGGGTGCGGCGCCCCAACCCCCCCACCCCACGGGTCCTGCTCTGTGTGTGACGGGGTGCAGTGCCCCAACCCTCCCCCCCGCCCCCATAGGCCCTGCTCTGTGTGTGACAGGGTAGAGCCATAACCTCCCCATCAGCCCTGCCCTGAGTGTGACAGTGGCAGCGTCCCAACCCCCTGATCGGCCCTGCTCTGTGGGTGATAGAGGGCGGCGCCCCCACCCCCTGATCGGCCCTGCTCTGTGAGTGACAGGGGGGAGTGCCCCAACCCCCTGATTGGCCCTGCTCTGTGCATGACAGGGGGTGGAGCTGCAACCTCCCCATCGACCCTGCCTTGAGTGTGACAGGGGGCGGTGCCCCAACCCCCCAATCGGCCCTACCCTGAGCGTGACTGAAGGTGGCATCACAACCTCCCGATCTGCCCTGCTCTGTGCATGACAGGGGGCAGCGCCCCAACTCCCCAATCGGCCCTGCTCTGAGCCCGACCAGGGGCTGCATCTAGGGATTGGGCCTGCCCTCTGCCACCCGGGAGCAGGCCTAAGCCAGCAGGTTGTTATCTCCCGAGGGGTCCCAGACTGCGAGAGGGCACAGGCCGGGCTGAGGGACACCCCCTTCCCCCCGAGTGCACAAATTTTTGTGCACCGGGCCTCTAGTCTTATATAATAAAAGCCTAATATGCTAAGTGTCTGACTATTCAACCAGTCACTACGATGCGCAATGACCACCAGGGGGCAGACACTCTGACCGTAGGTCAGCTTGCTGCTGGGGTCCAGCCAATCGAGTCTGGGCGAGATGGGCTGGACATGCCCTGGAGCCCTCCAGTGGTCCCTCCCCGGCCCCGATCATGCACTGGTGTGGTCTCTCAGCCTGGCCTGTGCCCTCTCACAATCTGGGATGCCTTGGAGGATGTTGGAGAGTCTGTTTCAGCCTGATCCCCAGGGCTCTAGTTGTAATATAAAAATTCTTGCATGAGCTGTGAGGCAGTGGGTCCAATTGTTCATAATAACCTCATCAGTTTTGAGCTCCATAATCAAAAGTGGCTTTGCCTAGTTTCATGCTTATTTGTTATTACCATATCTCTCAATTCCTCTAACTGCAAAATGCAGAAATTCAAGAGGAGTGTTCTAAAATGTCACGTCCATGTAAAAACTCTACATGGGATTATATTACCACAAACATACTCTTTAAACATAACATGATTACTTCATGTTTAATTTTATGCTTTATAAATTTCCTTTTATTGGTGACAGCCTGGTTAATAATTTATTTTAAAAAACAAACATGAATTTTCTGTTACCTATGAATATTTAAACATGTTTTTTTTTAAAAAAAAAAAAAAGCAGGAAGGTTATGCAACGGATGCAGCACCCTCTACCTTAGGGCATGTGTCAAATTTTGAAAGCCCTCAATTGCTCATACAACTTGGCACTTGCCTAAATATGTCATTGTGATCACTGTTAGATATTTATCAGTTTACATTTATTATGCATTAAAGGCACATTTTTAAAAAGTGGTTTCCACTAATTCCATAATGAAGAAACAGGTCAGCCTGCTATTCCCCACAGGGCAAGTACTCAGAAATTCAAGTTGTGGCCCAGATGAGCTGAGCAGGGAATAAACGTTCTGAGGGAATAAAAAATTCTTTTTTTAAAAAAAAATATATTTTATTGATTTTTTACAAAGAGGAAGGGAGAGAGATAGAGAGTTAGAAACATCGATGAGAGAGAAACATCGATCAGCTGCCTCCTGCACATCTCCAACTGGGGATATGCCCACAACCCAGGTACATGCCCTTGACCGGAATCGAACCTGGGACCTTTCAGTCCGCAGGCCGATGCTCTATCCACTGAGCCAAACCGGTTTCGGCAAATAAAAAATTCTTGACCAAGACTGTGGACAGTCAGGTTTTGATTAGGTGTAGCCATGAACTGGCTGCATGATCTTGAGTAAGTCCATTAAGTTTTATGCATCTGAATGTCTGGTACCATAACATAAAAAGGCTGGAATAGTCACTAAATAATTTTTTAATTTCTAAAATGCTTAGAGGCTATCCTAAACAATTCAAACTGCAATTCAAACTGTTGTTCAAGGGTGTTGATTTAAGTCCTGTTTCTCAGGCTGTTTGTCTGGGACAGATTAGTTGGTTCCCTTCTGCTCTATACACAACACCACCACAGCCGATAAAGATGCTTTATAATCAACTGCAGTAGCAGGCATCCGTGGAGCCTCAGTAGCAGGCGTCCATGGAGCCTCACTTTAGAGTGTATTCTCCTGGGCGCCCTGGAGAAGCCCACCTGGAGGGAGATCCTTTGGTAAAGGCCCAACTATTTAAGAAACAACTGGGAAGGGAGAATACGTCTCAGCCTCTTTTCCTGTGGACAGTTGCAGATCCCACTGCTTTTATTCTGACTGGCTCATGTGAAGAATGACTCAGTGGGATCATTGCCTAAGATGTCCTCAGTCTTGTCTGTGAGGGAAGAGCAGCTGAGAAGTTGGGAAAGTTCCCGTCAGAAGTAGTGTCTTCAGCTCTGACGACCTTGATCAGGTCTCTCGCCTGGGCCTCAGTTTCCACAGCTCTCAGATACCTGGTGGACTGGATCATTTCCTAAGTTCTTTTCAGACGTAACATGCAAAGTTCTCTGTGGGAGAAGTCTAGACACCCTTGCCTTTGTAAACCACTTCTTTGTAAGTGAATGATGGAAAGCCAGCTAGTGAATTCCCGCCTGGGTGAGATAAGCCTGCCAGGTAGGAGCAATACTTTCTTCACTGGGCCACGAAGAAAGTAGGACTCAATCCAAACTGTAGCAATGCCAAACGCAGTATGGCACACACACACACACACACACACACACACACACACACACGCACACACACACACACACACACACACACACACCACGTGGCATGACTACTTACCTTACATCATTTAGTTCATAGTAGACATTTCTGCTCTCGTCTTTGATGTAAATGGCGACACTGGGCGACTCCAGCATTTTCATGGTGAGCTGCTGTGGGAAGGCACTTACGAAGAGAGCCCGGATCGTGTCTGCACTTGTGATTTCGTTGGGCATCCTGAGCTGCTTGGTTTCATCTCCGTACTGGAGATAGAGAACCCCTGCGTGCAAAAGGAGCACAGCGGTCATTCTCAGACCAAGACTCACAGGACACGCAGCACAAGCTAAGCCACCTCTGTCTGGCCACGTGCAGGAAATGTTGTGGACAAGCTTGAAAGCATGCAATAAGAAATATACGTTTGGAATTTCCAAGGAATGCACTCTCTGGTTATCTCAAAAAGTACCCATTTTTATTCTTTGGGAGTCTGGGCAGGTGTTAAAGAGGCTAATTTTCAAAATTTTTTTTAAAACCAAAAGAATAAAAAGCGAACCTCTGGCAGCCTAAAGCAAAAGCCAATACTTAATCCCCTTGAAAGGTAGACTTAGGAATTTAACAGCATAGGGTGATCCCCCCGCCCCGCCCCATGTCTTTCACTAACTAAAAACACATTCAGTATAGCAGGGGTCCTCAAACTTCTTAAACAGGGGGCCAGTTCACTGTCCCTCAGACCGTTGGAGGGCCGGACTATAGTTTTTAAAAAAACTATGAACAAATTCCTATGCACACTGCACATATCTTATTTTGAAGTAAAAGAACAAAACAGGAACAAATACAATATTTGTATTTGCATGTGGCCCGTGGGCCGTAGTTTGAGGACCCCTGCAGTATAGCCATGTGTAAGATATACAGTTTAAGTCTTTATGGTCCATTCAGACACATTTTAAGTGGCAATGTTACAATATTCCTGCGATCTAACACATACTTATTTAATGTTTACACCATGTGAAACTATAAGGAAAAAGTGGCACCCTGATGTCTTAGAAAGAAGCTGGAACAAGTCAGTTGCACAAATGAAAACAAGCACAGGATCACAGAATTCCAGCGTTCCAGAGGGTACGTGGCTCCCAATGAACTATGCCTATAAGAGTAACCATGTTCTTATACAGTGTAGTTTCTTCCAAGATCTGGTCTGAGCTTTGCCATGTGACTTTCTTTAGCCAATGGGACATTAGCAAGTGTGATGCAAAACGGAGGCTAGCCAAGTGCTTGCACACTAGAGCTTGTCCTATTGCTGAGCATGGTCATGGGTTCTCCCTCACAGAATCACATTTCCGTGGAGTCCAGGCAAACATGTGGAGGCCGCATGGAGAAGAATGGAAGCCCTGACTGGTGGCCCCACTAAGCATCCGTTCTCCAGCCAGTCATGAGGGTGAACCCTCTTGGTAGGGGTATCCCTCCCGCCCGGGAGAACTGCCCCCATCACACGAAACAGAAGTCATATGAAACAGAATCGAGAGCCTGGCCCAAATTGCAGAATCATGAGCAAATAAATGACTGTGTTTGTTTTAAGTCACTATGTTTAGGGTCATGTGTTACTCAGGAATAGATAACCGAACCAGGGAATCGGAGGTTCTGACATTCAATTTGTATCCTATTGTGAGAATCTACTGAGGAGGGACTACTACTTACTACTAGAATAATCCTTGGCAGGAGAGATTTAAAAGAGAACAGAATATGACTTCTGGTTAAATATGGCCGTTTGTGTAACACATTTATCTCTTTCTCCTCCTGAAATTCCATTAAAATGACAATGAGGAATAAAAAAGCAAACATTAAAGAATCAACAGAACAGGAGAGGAAACAATAGCAGACAAGAGAAAGCTGACACCTAGGTCTTCAAGGAGACAACTCCACATAAAACGCAGGCCCAGGGGAGCTCCGGAAATGAGCACCAGACTCTGAAGGCAGGAATGCACAGTGACAGGAAAGCATGAGCCCCGATTGAACTTCCTTTTTTTAATGGCACAGCAACCTGTTCATATCTCCCTTTTTCTCCCACTCAGCCAAGCAACTCCCCATATCCACAGAAGACTGAAGAGGTTGAGCCAGATTCTGCTCATGGGCACAGGGGCAGTGGGTGAAGTGCCCTCTGACAGCACCCTGGCAAAGGGCTGCCATCGCAGCCAGGGACTGGAGGAGCCCTCCAGGAACGCTGGCTGGCCTGTGGGAAGAGAGCAACAGAATTGTGAGGGTAACTGTGCAGGGTCTGCTTGGCCACCATGGTGGTAAGCAGCCTGGCCCATATAAAAAGCTTCCGGTTAGGACACCTGGCCTTGCTCAGAGATTAGCAGGCTACCCGGGATTATCAGACATTTCATAAAAGCCTCTAAGGTGAAAGGAAAGACTGAAATAAACAGAAAACAGAAACTCAGAAGGGATGAGACAATCCAAGAAAAGGGGGATATTTGGAGAGCAAAAGTGAACTCTGGGAACCATGAGAGCAGAAATTAAACACATTCATTGAAAAAGAAAAAGTTGATAAAAACCTTAAAAGTGTAGTAAAAAGACTTTTAGATGGGAGAAAGGTGAAAACCAAGAAGAAAAGTAGAGAATTACTTCAGTGCATCCAAATACCTAATAATGGAGACTTGGATAAAAAGAAATCAGTAGAAATAGAGAAGTTTTACAAAAAGTATTATTAGACCTCCTCCACCCACAACTGAAGGACATGAGATTGGAGATTGAAAATATTCATGAAATGCTCAATACACTCAGGCCTGTAACTGAGACATTCCAAATGGCAGGGGAATCAGGGGTTCCCACCAGCCCAGAGGGTGTGAGAACAGTCGCAAGAGAAGGGTCAGGATGCAGAAAGGCACTAGAGCTTTCTCTACAGCAACCAGAACCAAGGACAATGGAGAAACAGCCTAGGAAATCTGGGAGGAAACACTTTAGATTAGGTTTGTATCCTTCCAAACCATCGACTGGATATGTATTAAAGTCAGCTTCTCAGGGAGGCCTTCCTGACCACCTTATTCATTATTTCAGCACCCATTTTCCCCAACAGTTCATTCTCCCATCCGTGCTTCCTTTCTGTTCTTGAGCATTTTTCACTCTACAGTTGATGCTTGAACAATTCAGGGTTAGGGGCTGACCCCTTCACAGTTGAAAATCTGAGTATAACTTTTGACTCCCCCAAAGTGCAACTACTGCTAGCTTACTGTTGACCAGAAGCCTTCGCGATAATAGAGTGGGCAAAAGTGGTTTTACAGTTGTGAGTATGCAAAATACAGAGTTTATTCTTGTATTACTATTTAATTGTATTTTCCATATGAATAGTTGTAAACCTACTTTTGCCTCACCCTGTCTACACAGTTGATTAACACATATTGTTATAAATATTACAGTCTATATTGATATGCTAAACTAAGCTAGAGAAAAAGAAAATGTTATTAAGAAAATCATAAGGAAAAAATACATTTACAGAATTTATTGAAAAAAATCTGCGTATAGGTGGACTCACACAATTCAAACTGCTTTCAGGGGTCACTGTATAATTCATATTTTAATTATTGTTATTGTTTACCGTCAGTCTCTCCCTTTAAAATGTAAGCTTCATAAAGTCAGGAATTTTTAAAAATGTTTTTGTTCACCGTGGTATTCTTAGTGCCTCTAATATGACTTACTACACAGTAGGTCCTCAGTAAATGAATGAATGAATGAATGAATGGATGGATGAATGAATGAATGAATGGATGAATGGATGGATGAATGACTTATTAGTCATCAAAAGGAATGTTCATTTGGGGTCTGGCTGACCTATAAGAGCTTTGGCTACATGATGTAACAGCCCCGTGATCTCGTTCCCACTTTGCATACACATTAGAACTACATTCTAAAGCGGCTCTTTCCTTGACTGGAGCAGTCCTTTCCATTCAGTGTGAGCAGCTCAACTTCCCCTCTCTGCCCATCATAGTTTTGATCCTCAGCTTCTTCATGGGGTTAGTTTTCCAGAATATCCGTGCTGTTACACATTCTTCAGACTGCAGAAAAAATCTGTCAAGCCTCTGAGCTCAGATCGTGCAACGTTTCTGTCCCAAAGGGGAGATGTGGTGGCTGCCCATGTGATTGCTATGCCGTGTCAAAAGGCCAAAGCCATTCCTGAGGTCGGGGCCCCAACCATGGCTGGGCGAGGCCCCTGCCCACGGGCCACTTATGGCCTCACTACAGTCAAATATCATGGCCTCACTTCCCCAAAGAGCCTGGCTTTCATTCCCACATCTGCATTTTGTACGTGTGTGTGCTTTAAATAGAATTTGTAGGCTCTGAGTAAAAAAAAAAAAAATCGGGCCTACACTAAGGTTACCTCAGGTTCTGGCTGGTGCAGCTGCCAGCTGGGTACACAAGTCCAGTTACAGATCATGACAACCCAGAAAAGACGGGGGAATGATGCCTTTATAAACAGAGAATAGTCTTTTTACACTTGATTCAGCTTGGTTTCTCAATTCAGGAAAGGGATTTAGAAATGCTTAAACTCAGAAGGAATGCTCTTAATATATGATGGCGTTTTACTGGCACAGTGATGAGAGCCAGCGCTGAGTTCGTGCTGGCTGCTCCGGATTCACAGAGGAAGGACTTGGATCATAAACTAGTTCTTTATGAAGAAGGAAAGAAGACAGGAAAATGAATTTATAGGATGTCTGCTATGTGTCAGAAACAGCATGCGCATACAGCAGGTTCTCAATAACATTAAGTAACAACTTTGATGAGATGGCCTATGAACTTAACTCTTGTTTATATCAATTAGCCTAGGGTAAAATTGGTTTCATTATACATTGTTCTGCTTCAGGTTGTAGAACCTATGAATGATGTTAAGCGAGGACTTCCTGTATTGCATTTAATCAGCACAGCTTCTCTCCAGGTCGATGTTATAGCCCCACTTCACAGATTGGGAAAAAGAAACTCAGAAGGTCCCAGTACCTTACCTAAAGTTACAGCTAGTAAATGACTTAACTAATTTACATATCCAATTGCATCCATCCACAGAACCAATTATAAATAACTAGAGGCCCAGTGCATGAAATTCGTGCACTGTGGGGGTGAGGGGGGTTGGAGATCCCTCAGCCCTACCTGCACCCTCTCCAATCTGGGAGCCCTCAGGGGATGCCCTACTGATGGCTTGGGCCTGCTCCCCCATGGTTCTCTGCTCTCTGCAGGGCCTGCCTGCTCCACACCACAGCAATGGGCAAGCAGTCCCTGCTGGTTGCTGCCTGTGGGCCA